GCATGGCTTGTGAATGCTGCAATGCTGGGGCAGATGGAGCTTCCCACAGGAGAGCAGGGGGGGCCCCCCACAGGCTCAGTGGTGAACCCAGAAGTGAACCAGAACTACTTCTGGTGCACTTCCAGGTCCACCAGGGAGCACACTGGGGGGCCTCCATCCATCCATAGAAAGTCTACAACCCTTTCCTGAGGATAGATTCCTAAAAAATTTCTTTCAGTGAAGAAAACAGCACTCACTGCTTTCCTTTCAAAAAGACATCTGCTGAAGATCTGCTATGGCCCATTTTTCTATAGCCCAGTGATTAAAGCCATCCCTCAGAAAGTGGGAAACCTGTGTTGTAGTCCCTCCTTAACCCGAGGCCTACCTCTCATTTCCTAGGAGAGTGTCCTAATCACTAGGAATCCTGGTTTTCTCTGATTAAAAAATCCCCAATTTTCAGTTTAAAAAAAGTTACCTCAAATCCACATTTTTCTGTGATTAAAACAAACCACCACTTGTATATGTATGTATATACAGTGGTGTTTCATTTTAATCAGGGAAAAATGTAGATATTGGGTTACTTTTTTTAAAACTGAAAATTGGGGATTTTTTTTTAAATCCGAAACAACCAGGATCTGTGCTAATCATTAGGCCATACTAAGAGAAGGCCCTTCACTGATGCTGAGTCAGTTTTCAAGATTCATGGGCCAGAAAGACGGCAAACAAGGAGGATGTTTTTATCCCAATACATTGGCATTCAGCTGGGAGAGAAAGTTGTTAGTACCAGTCCCTAATCCATAACACATAAACATTCCCTAAAGCAATTTAAGGAGACACTAAACAGAGATATTTTGTAGTGCAATTTTGTACCTCAGTGCACAGGATCTAACAAAGTCTTGTTTTAAGCACCTACATCCTCTTTTGGATCTTACCATTATATCTTATTTATATGACCAAGCAGTAGAAAAACTGAATTATAAATATTCGCAATTAACTGTGCACAAATAATCTGAAGACCAAGAATATTTGAATCATTAATAAATTTGAAGCTACATGACCTGTATGCAGATAATTTGTGACCATTACAAAATTAATTTAATCAAGTGTATTTTTCACTGAGAATTACTTTTCAGATCTAGACAAAATACATAATGAAACTTATACACGTTGTCAAGTAGCTGAAAATTTTGATTATTTAGTGCTATGGAAAGTTTCTGTGAAGTTAAGTTAATAAGATTTCCTGATATGAGCCTGTAATTAAAAAAGCCCTAATCTCTTCAGAAAGCTCCTAGGAAAAAAGAAAAGTCTTTTCATAGTCAAATTGCATCTTTCAGAGTGTATGATAATTTAGAAATGAAAAAAAATCAAAATTGAACTCTCTCTCTTCTCTTGACTTGAAAAAGTTTCATGGAGAAAAAGGTTAATTCTGAAATAGAACTAAACTTTCAGAGCTATATATAAATTATATTAACTGATATAAATTGCAGCATCATTTTTTCATTTCAGGTCCTGTAGGTGGATTAATGATATGTGAGCTTTATTACTGCCAGTGTTTCTTGACTCTTTCCACTCAGGGATATAAATAAAGACTGGACAATTGAATCAAGAGGGCTATACCTGGGACTCATTTTAAATGCTTTTGCAGAAACTTTGATTGACATGCTATGCATAGAATTGTTAAAGGACAATAAAAAGTTAATTTACTTTATGCTGTAGTCAATATGCTGTGTGATTTGAAGCCTGCATACACTATGTAGCAAAGAAAAGTCTATGAATAAGTGTATTTGTGTATGACATGACCAAGATTTCAAAGACCAACTACTGATTTTGAATTTATGAACTTTTGGCATCCAATTTAAGCTCCTTAATGGGATTTGACTTTTATAGGCCAGATGCTTTGCACTTTTAGAATACGAGGGTTTTAGATTAGACAGCCAAAATTATTCACTTCTGAAAATCCT